ATTGTATGTTCTTGGCTCCTTTGTCAAAGATTAGCTGTCCATAGATGTGTGGGTTTATTTCTGGGCTTTCGATTCTATTCCATTGATCTGTGTGTATGGCAAAAATTTTAATTACTAATTGAATTCCTTTACTTATTATAGGTCTATTTAGATTTTCCATTTATTCTTCAGTCAATTATATGTCTTTCTAGGAATTAGGTTTGTCTTTAGGAATCTATTATCTTTCTAAGAATTTGCATCTTTCTAGGAATTTACCCATTTCATATAAGTCGTCTAATTTGTCGGGATAAAGTTGTTCATAACATTCTCTTATAATCCTTTTAATTTCTATAGGATTGATAATGATGTCCCCTCTTTCTTCCTGGTTTTGGTAGTTTGTGTCTTCAAAGAGCTAGTTTTTGGCTTCATTGATTTTATCTATTGTTTTTCTGTTTGCTATTTCATTGACTTTTGCTCTAGCATTTTATATCCTTCCTTCTGCCTGCTTTGATTTTATTTTGCTCTGCTTCTCATTTCTTAGGGTGGAAGCTTAGGTTATTTTTATGTTTTAATGTACCTTTTTTATTCCTCTGTTGATTTTTTTTTTTTTTTTTTTTTTTTACTATGTTTATAGTTATTTTCCTACTAGTTGTTTTAGGGACTCAAGAAGGAAAAAGAACTCTGTTTCTCCTCTCAATACTACTCTCAATACTTCTGACAGCAGATGTGTCAAGGTTTCTCCCACACCAAGCAATTCTCTAATTCTCTGTGGACACCAACTGGGTGTTCTACAATTCAATTCAATTCTGACACTGTCTACTTGGGGTTAGTGCAGACCCCGCAGGTTAAGGGCTCAGTCCCACAAACTGCACCCACCCTCCTCCACTTCAGACATGAATGACAAATCCAAATTGTCACCTGTGCTTCTGACTGACCGGCTATAAATTGGAGATTCCTATGACCCCCTCCTTGGGTTTAATAATTTGCTAGACCAGCGCACAGAACTCAGGAAAACAGTTTACTTACTCGATTATCAGTTTATTATAAACGGATGCAACTCAGGAACAGCTAGGTGGAAGAGATGCATAGGGCAAGGTATGGGGGAAGGAGCACAGAGCTTCCATGTCCTGTTCAGGCATGCTACCCTCCCAGCATCTCCACTCATTCACCAACCCGGAAGCTCTCTGAACCCCGTGCTTTAGGGATTTTTATGGAGGCTTCATTACGTAGGCATGATTGACTAAGTCATTGGCCGTTGGTGATTAACTCAACCTCCAGCCCCTTTCCCCTCCCTGGAGATCAGCCACAAGTCATCTCATTAGTATAGAAAAGACATATCACTTCAGAGAGTCCGGGTTTTGGAGCTGTGTGCCAGGAAATGGGAGACGGAATATGTACATCTTATTATGTCACAGGGCTATAATATACATCTTAACTAATCACAACCTACTTCAATGTAATATTAACTTTATTCCAAAAATATAGAAAGATTGCTCCAATATATCTTTTTTCTGTTCCTAACCTTTGTGATATTATTGTCACATGTATTACATCTATATATAAATGTAATAATACAGTGTTATAATTATTGTTTTATACAGTCATATGCCTTTTAAAGAAGTTAAGAGAAGATATGGAAAAGTATATTTATATATTTTTTATTTACCCACGTATTTACCACTTCTGATGCTCTTTATTTCTTCTTAAGAATTCGAATCACCATCTAGCACCATTTCCTTTCAACCTGAAGGACTTCCTGTAGTATTTCCTATAAGACAGTTCTGCTAACAACAGATTCTGCCTTTGTTTATCTGGAATGGCTTTATTTTGCCTTTATCTGTGAAAAATTGTTTTGCTGCATCCTTGGTTGAGAAACTTTTTTCTTTTATCATTTTGAACATGTTATCCTGTTGCTTTCTGTCCTTCCATCTCTAAGTCAATTGTTCATCTTAGTTTAGTGTCCTTGTAAGTAATGAATCATTTTTCTTTTGCTGCTTTCAAGATTTTCTTTTTATCTATGTCTGCCACCAGTTTTCTACAATGTATCTAAATATAAATCACTTTGTGGTTATCCTACTTGAGATTTGTTGAGTTCCTTGGATCTGTAAGGTAATATTCATCAAATCTGGAAAGTTTCCAGTTAGTATTTCCTTCAGAAATTGTTTTTGTCCTTTTCTCTCTTTCTTCTAATTCTGGGACTTTTTTTGTGAATGTTGGCGTACTTGATGTTGTCCCATTTGTCTCTGAGGCTCCATTAATTTTTCTTCAATCTTCTTTTTTTCTTTCTCTCCTACATATAGGATAATTTATATTGATCTATCTTCTAGTTCACTCCTTTCTTCTGTCATCTCACATTTACGATTAAGCCTATATAGTGAATTATTCATTTCAGTTGTTGTGATTTTCAACTGCAGATTTCCAATTGGTTCTTTTTATTTATTTGTTTATGTTTTATTGAGATAACTGGTTTATAACATTATATAAATTTAAGGTGTACATCATCATATTTTGACTTCTGTATAGACTACATTGTGTTCACCACCAAAAGTATAGTTTCCCTCCATTACCATTCAAATGTGCCCCTTTACCCCTTTCACCCTCCACCTATCTGTCTTCCCCCTCTGGTAACTACCAATCTATTCTCTGTATCTCTGTTTGTTTGTTGTTGTTCTTTAATCTTCCACATATGAATGAAATCATATGGTATTTGTCTTTCTCCATCTGACTTGTTTTGCTTAGCATAATATCCTCAAGGTCGATCAATGTTGTCACAAATGGCACGATTTCATCTTTTTTATGGCTGAGTAGTATTCCATTGTATGTATCTACTACATCTTTGTCCAGTCATCTGTTGATGGGCACTTAGGTTGCTTCCAAGTCTTTGCCATTGTGAGTAATGCTGCAATGAACATAGAGGTGCATATATCTTTTCGAATTAATGTTTTCAAGTTTCATGTTCATTGGATAATACCCAAAAGTGGAATAGCTGGGTCATATAGTAGTTCTCTTTTTAATTTTTTGAGGAATCTCCATGCCGTTTTCCATAGTGCCTGCACCAATTTACATTCTCATCAGCAG